TAATGCTTTTTCTTTATAGAATTTGGTTATTGCAGAATAGTTAGAAGATTTATTGCAGGTGTAATCAAAGTATATAATAACATATGCAAGAAAGTCAGTATCAATAAGTTTAGGTATAAGAAAGTTAATAGTCTGTTGTTTGTTCATTTTATTAATATTATGGTTTTTTGCAGCAGTATTTTGGTAAATAATTAGGTATTAATAAAAGTAAAAGACTTGTCATTTTGAATTAGTTCTAACAGAATTAGCAGAACAAGTATATTCTTTTGCTTTTGCTGCCAATTCATCTAAAACTGTAGTAGAAATTTGTTTAGTGAATGTAGCTTCATGTTTTCCTTTGATATAAAATATTGAAACATCAAGAAAGAGTTCATTTTAGGCTTCAATTTCTTTTGAATAAGTATTGTATAATGTGTTGAATATATTTTTGATAAGTTAGGTTGAGTTGTGTATAAGTTGTAGCTTAGAGTTTGTTTTTTGAGTTTTGTTAGGTTTGTTTTCAATCTCTGGATCTTTTTCTTTATTATTTTCTTTTTTCTTATCTTTAGTTGTGACCAGCTCAAGATAGGAACATTTGGAGTCTGTGCAGATAAGTATATGATAGTTGGCATGTTTGAAGATTTTATTACATCTTTCATGAAGACTAGTTAGTTTTTTGAACTCACTGGTAGTAGGTAGAAGTTTTTTAAGGTGAGAAATGAAATATTGTTTAAATTCATACTTAAGATAGTTTTGAACTTTGGTTTTGTTGATAGTATTAGAGAATTGGTAACTATATATTAAAAAAATTTTTTCGAACCATTTATTGAAATGGTCAAGTAAATTTTTTAAAGATGGTATATTGTATTTTTGAAAAAATAATATTTTAGGAAGATTAAAATTAAGTTTAATGTTAAACTAATTATCTATTTTAATAAAAAGAAACTGATATTGTTTATTAATTTTAGTGATCTCAGATGTTATATTAAATTTTTTGAATCTTAGTTTGATATCTTCTGCAAATTTAGTGTAGTTAATTGCTTAATAGTTATCAAAAAGATATAAGTAAAGTTAGGCAAGATTAATACAAAATTGTAATCGATTATGAGTTTGAATAGGTGGAATGGTGGCTAGAAAGACAAATATTTCTGAATAGTTAAGTTTAGTAAAAAGAACTGTTGTAAATATAAGAATAAGTTTTTTGAATATTTTTTTAAAATATTAAATGGTATTGTAGCAGCTTTATTATCATCAGAGTTATGTTGTTGGATTAAGTCAGTGAAAATTAAGGTCTAGCACTAGTCATTTGTCTAATTAATATACAAAAGCTTGCTTTGAATGAATCTTATTTTCCAACTGCTTCTTTAATGACTTTGTCAAAATAGAAGTTATAAAAATGTTCTTTAAGAAAATTAAAGATTTTTTGAGACATCTCTGTTTGTAATTTTGTGTGGTTTTGCATTTTATCAGTAACTGAAAAGTTTGCTAAGAAGTCATATAATGAATTAAGTTTGGGTCTTGTTGCTTGACTATAAGATTGAGCTAGTTGAGATTGTTGAAGTAGTTTTTTGTTAGCTTATTATTTGTGTAAAAGTGATGAAGCTTGATGTAAAGGTTGTTGTTGTTGTAGTTGTTGTGTTTGTTAAGTTTGTAATTATTATTGTGATTTAGGTGATGTAGTAGAGCTGTTAATGTTCATATCATTGTTAGTAGAAGTTGTTTCTTCAAAGTTAGATGAAGTAAATATAAGTTCTGAAATAAGAGAATTGTTCAGATTTTGATCAAATAGAAAAATAACAAGCTGTTTAGAAGAATAGTGATTCTAGTATAGTGGTTGGGTTGTCATCCTCCAAGTGGCAGATCTAAGGTTCAAATCCCACCTACAACAAAATTTGGCAATTATATTTGCATTATAGTAAACTGTCTCTTGTTGATCAGTTGGATTTAGGTATCTGTAATCTTGGGTACAACCAATTAGGTTCTACTCATCATTGGGAGCCCAGGGCATCTATGTGAAATATAATATTACATGTATATAGAGAAATGTTAATAACCGGTGTTGCATAAGACTTCGGTGCAAACCTACAATAAGGCCACCAGATGTAGAAGACCAAAAAACTGAGGAGACGAAAGCCCACTTGGAAATTTCTGAGTAAAGAGTAACACAAACCTTTGACAGTGCTATCAGACTAATAGAAGCTCAGAAACCCCAATAAGGAATAGGCGAACATGCAACCGGATGGAAAGATGTGTAGAAGAGCACATAACCAACCAGGCCACTAGGATTGCCAGAGGAAAAGGATACTAAGATATACTGTACCAGGCTATCTGGATTGGAAGTCTGAAGAGTCTGTCGAATTCTGAGTTGGATAGTAGAGGGATGAAGGGAAGAAGTCAGAATAATAGGTACTAGGGTTTGGGTGAACTTTACAAGAGTAAAAATAGTGTAATATAGTGGTTAAACAGGTAACCCCTGTAACTGCAAGTGTTGGGTAACTATAGCGTGTTACATAAAACTAGGTCAGCTATGTGTGAGACATGGAAGGCTTTAGTAATAATGCTTCTGAGAATACACTGCATGAAATAAGGTATGGGGTCCTAAGGGAAATAGGTAAAAGTATTTAGACCTTTTTGACTGACTGACGGCTATATTGGAGATGATTTAGTGACATAGTAAGAATTGCAGCACAGAGGGTTTAAATAGGCAATGCCCCTAGTTGAGTTGCAGTATAGCATCTAGTATAGAACCATTGGCAGACTACTTAAATTAGACACCAAAAGTGTATATGTAGCTAGTTGTACTCTCTAATGTAAGGTGACTTCTTTGAGGCTTTGGCTGTGAGTCTCTATATCCAATTTACTGAATAAAACCCTAGGCCCAAAAGAGGCTAGTTTAATATTAAAAAAAAACAAAAAAAAACAAGCTGTTTAGTTAGAATTTTATATTATAAAGATGAGTCTTGTTCAGGGTTTTCAGTAGGTTGGAGTTTGCATTGATTAGCTAAGATTATTTTTTTATAAATTTCAGCTAAGTAATTATTGTAGTATACTGTATTTTAATAGAAGATAGATTTATTTTGTAGTGCATGATTGTTGTTAGTCACTTTATAGTTAATGGAAGTTTGGTATTTAGAACAAGTATGTGTATGAATAGTGGCTGTAGGTAATAGTAAAACTTGAGGTTTGGATTTGCAAATGCTTGTTTAAGCCTTTTGGCTTATTTGTTAGTTGTTGTTTCATCGATTTTGCTGATAAGTTCATATGTTTTATTGTTTTCTGCAATGAATTTAGTATGAAATAATCTATACATGTATTTGATTGTTGTAGTTGTTGCAAGAGCAGGAAAGAAATAAGTTGATAGATAAGATCTAAGTTCTATAGTAATACATTTGGTAGATCTGTATTTGTTCAAAATAGCTTTTACTTGTATAAATTCATTTTTATAGATAGTGATACTATAAGAGTTTACATAATTCTTGAAGAAATAATCAAGATCTAAGATATCTGGTACTTCTGTACTAAAAGTAGTCATAGTGCTATAAGTTTACTTAGAAGTCCGAATTTAAATTACTTAATAAAGATTTTTGTAATCTTTAATTAAAGATTTTTTTAGAAGTTTAATTATAATATGAAATTGATTGCAGGATATAGTTTGTATTTGCATGAGTTCTACTGTGGCTACTGCAACTGTTGCGACTTGTATAACTATGTGTGGCCTAAGTAACACAAGTTTGTAGCTTGTGTGACTAGTGTGACTAATGTAGTACAAATTTATAAATAGTTAGTATTACAATAACTATTATGTAATTGAGTACAAAATTTATTTTTAGTAAATTAGTACAAGATAATTTGTAACAAATAAATTTCTTTTTTGGATAAATTTAATTTACACAATGTGAAATTAAATGAAACCAATTTTAGAAATGATTTAAGGTTATACAAAAAACATTTTAAAGAAAAAATTTGGAGGTAGAGACAAAAGAATTAAAAAAAAGAAAAAGAGCAGAGAAGTTAAAGTTGTTTTCTATTATAATTCTGTTAATTTTAGACCTACAGGCTTCTTTTTAGATGTGTTTTGATCGGAAGAAGGTGCTTTATAACTTTTCTTATAATTGTAAAATAGATTAATAAAATACTTTATAAGAAATAGTTAAAAATTTAATAGTGGAAATCAAAAACTGTTTAGGCAGTATTAAACTACGAGTTCAAATGTTATAAACTTGAAACGTTCAGAGTATATATAAAATTAAAAGCTGAACAAGTTTATTTAAGATACCAAAGTTGGTTATCTTAATAATATAACCAGATATTAGCAATTTTATACTGATGAATTTTTAGTTATTTTTGTGTAAAAAGAATTTTTTCCAAAATGATATTAAAATAATATTTATTTAATATATAATATATAGTATAGTATAAAATATTAGAAATTTGAGAAAATGTAAATTAGATATAGATTTAAATATAAAAAATTAAACAGAGAATTAAGCATATAGATTATTAAGATTTTGTAAATAAAATTAATATATATTTAGTTACTTTAATAATAATATTAGATATATGTCAATAAAAAATTGTTGATATATCCAGATATCAGTTTAAGCAATGGTCTTAAACTATAACAACATAATATAAAATTATAAAAATAAGTATATATTTTATTTTCAGTTCTTAAAATTTATTAACAAATATTTTTTAATTATTAAAACTGATTATTTAGTATCTTTATAATATATAATATATACATATATTAGAAAATTATTAATAATATAAACATAATATTTTATTTTATTGATAATGTTATATAAAAGTTAAAAACAAATAAAAAATCTTAGATCTACCTAATTTTATTTATATAAACCAATCCTAAAATACAATATAATGTTATATTTTAAAGAATATTATAATAAACTAAATAAATATATTAATATATAACATATTAACAACTATTTATTAATAAAAAATAATTCTAATACTGTTTGTTTAAAGTTTTTTAATAAGCTAATAAGTTCATTTTATATTCATTTGAGTTTAGCAAATAGTTTAATATCAATTTCAATATTTGTATTAGGCTGTTTAATATAGTCTAAGATTGAATTTACTCTAGCAATAGCTTGGACAGTTGTAACAAATTTAATTGGCTTTTTGGATTCTTTCTCATTATTATTTTCTTGCATTTTTATTATAATATCTTCAATTTTGGGAATGTTATTTATTATATATTTGTTATCAATTTTAATAAATTTATATATAGAAATACTAGTTATTGATTTGAATTTTTCTGGATTTTTTAAATTTTGGCATTGTTTAATAAGTTTTTCCAACTCAATTTCTTTATCATCATTAGATTCAATTAAGAATTCAAGATCTACTAAAAGAAGAATCTCTGTTTTTTGTCATATATAAATAATTACATCTTCAGTAATATTTTTCTAAGCCTTTACTACAAACTGAATTGTATTATAAATCATTATTAGATTTGAAGATTGATTTGTTATATTTGATTCATCAAATGTAATAATTTGATTTTGTAATAATAGTTTGCAATAGTGATACTAAATTATATATTAATATATAAAAAATTAAAATTATTATTATTATTATATTTTTTTAAGAAATGTAATTTAGAAAAAGCAATAATTAAGATAATTAAAAAGAATATATTTATATTTAAAAAAAATATTTATTTGTTTTTTTTAAATTATTTCTCAAATAATACTTAGAGTATTATTTTAGATAACTATATGTTATAGTAATATTAAACTAATATGATCATAAGTTACTATGAGTTTGACATAGCAAAATTTACTATAAATTTTTACTTAGCATTACTTATATAAATAAAAAAAAATTAAAAATTAATCTTGAAAAAATAAATAATTTTAGTATTACATAGTTGTAATCATGCAGTAGTATTTAGTAGAAAAAATATATTTTGATATTTTGTAAATTTAAACCTTTAATAGTATATATGAAGCAATTATCTATATATAATAAAACTTTTCAATAAGTAAGTCACATTTAATGATCTAATTTAGATAACCAATTATACCAAATTGAAGTTTGTATCCAAGTTTTTTTATTTTAATAATATTGAACAGATAATGTTTCTTTTTTTATTTCTTTTAATACATATAGATTTTGATATTTATGAATAATAATTAGTAGTAATTTATCTCCAAATGCATTAAATGCAACTATTACTATAATATGATTTTTTTAGTTTTTTAATACCTGTTATATAACCATGTATAAGAGACTTTAATAATTCTAAAAACCAATAAAAAACTGTTTTATTACAATTATAAATATATTCTAGATCATAATTTATTTATTATAACTGCAAAGATTGTCAAAACTCAGATAATTTATCAATAGGTATGCTAGTTACTTCTTCAACTTTTATATTATAAACTATGATGTTATTTTTTAAAACCTTGTATAAAAAAAAATAATATTAATAGATGCTTTATAGTATCTATAATATTAAACTTAAATAAATAAACTTTATAGAACTCTTTCTGTAGATCACTTATACCAAAACTACAAAAACACATTTGATTATTTCTTAACTTTCTACTAAGTAAACCTTACTTGATCTCTTAACTAAAGTTATTCAGCACACATTTCTCTTTCTAGGTCTAAGTTTTATTTTTAAATAGCACTTGGTTGCTGAGAAAAGTTTCAAAAACCAAGTTTTTGGTTTTTGCTCTTTTACATAATTTTACTAATTAAACCTATCTTTATATCTATTTAAAAGTTGTTCAGCTTACTGAGACGAACATTTTGATATATAATTTATTAAAAACAAACCAAAACTTACAAAGATACAAGCAAAAAGCAAAAACAAAAACTTGCTCTTTGCAGGCTTTTTCATTGGCAATTTTAGGAAAACTTGCTGGGTTGCCCAGAATTTCACTTTTCTGGTACCCATTAGAATTTTCTAAACATCGAATCTGCTTACCTGAAACCTAAACTCTTTTCAAAACTTCTCTAACTAGTCTAAAAATCTTTAAATGAACCAAATTTTTTTAAAAAACATACTTAATAATCTATTTTTAGATCAAGATACCAACCCCTATAACAACTGCACCTAATACCATTGACCTTGACTATTTTTATCAGAAGTGTTCTAAAGGCTTCAGAATTGGATCTATGAGGATGCACCAACTTTATCTTATCCTATTCCTGCTAACAAACAACCTAAAAATTGCAATATTACTAAACTTAGAAGAAGCACTAAATGCAGTTATTACTTCAAAGCACCTGAATCTAGCTCTGTTGTCACATGCTTTTGTAGCAAATACCATACACACTTTATTTCAACAACTAACCAATCCTACAAACAACACAAAACCACAAATGTCATCAAAAAACTTAAAGATCAAAAAACTTTAGTAAACACAATTGCAAATTCTACTAAATTTGTTCTGCTATTATCTACAGCATTACTTTCACTTACTATACATAACCATCTCTGTGCTAAATGCAACCTACCCATTTCCTGTAAAAAATTAATAATCAACATTACTTGGCAACTGATGCTACTTTATATAACAATAAACCTTATCACAAAGTCTGTACTAGTATACAACAATTTGCTTAACAGTCAAGCTCTTCTCTTACTTTTATTCAAAAACTTCAACAAACAATTAGCTTTTACAATCTACTCACTTCTGAATTTACTTTTACAATCTTACCTAACAACAATAGCAATACTACAAATAATATAAATCTTGACAATAACACTACTAATAACAATAACAACCAACAACATTAACAACAACATCAACAACTGCTATACCAAAATCCATCTTACTCTATTGAACAACAGCAACAACAGTAACAAACAAGTAAACAACAACAACAGCAACAAATAAGTAACCAACAATAACAATTAACACAAACTAATACTACTACCAATCAACCAAAAATTAAGGCCAACTCAACATTTGATTGGCTTGCTAATTTTCCAATTTTCGATAATATAAAGGACAAATTACAACTTCAAACAGAATTTTCAAGAAAAATTTTCAACTTTCTCAAATTCTACCTACATAATTTCTATCTTGGTAAAGAAATCAAACCTGAAACTCCCATGCAAAAGGTCCTCAAAGCTAGCTTTTATCACATCATCTGCAAAATAGCTAAAGACAGACCTGAATTTCTTACTGAATTCATTTAAAAATTAACCTCAATACTAACAAAGCAATTACTATTCCTTTTAACATACTTGAAGAAACTCTTAAAAAACTTATCCTAGCATTAACAACAATTCTTTTTATAAAACTCAACTACTTCAAAATCTTTGCCTCCTCAGCTACTATCCTTCCATATACCAACCAAAACTGCATCCAACTTTGTATTAATCTGGCTTGCATTCACTTATATCATTCAAACAACTATCAAGCAATTGATTACATTAAATTTGCTAAAGACTTCCAACTTTAACCTAAAAGATTTAACATTATATTAAAAGTATCTGATTATGACAAAAAAAAGCAATATGTCATAATTAAATCAGATAGCAAATTTAATATCTACCTTAATTTTAATATTCTAAAGACACTATTTTACTAAAAACTAAATATTCTATCTCTTGCAAATTCTTTAGATCATTTAAAACAATGGTTTAAACAATTTTTTCCAACATACAACTGACAATTTATCCAAACATTAAATGAAACCAAAGTATTTAACTTCTTAAAATACCAAATCTGACAGAAATTTATTTTTTATCTTAAAGAAACCTTACCTACTAAAATACAATTTCAACAATCTCACAATTTACAAGAACGTCAAAATAAAACAATAAAATTAGCTAACTTTCATATTCTTACTTGCATAGATGAAACTTGTTTTTACTTAAAAAAAACAACTCCAAAATAAAGAAAAAGAACCAGAAATTACAAACCTATCCACCACAACTCCCAACCTCCAATTTCAATATAACTTCTTATAATTACTAAATGATATTTTTAAAAAATCATATGTAGACTTTCCAAAACAAGAAAATGAAGTTTGGAAACAACCTGAAATTGATCCATCTATATTCTACAAAAACAGCAAACATGAAGCATCTTTTAACAAACAAATTCCTACATCTCTCCTTGATGAGCTTGCAACAGAAATGGAAAAATCTGCTTGCAAAATCAACAATGTCCTAACCAATCCCAAATGTCGCAGCTACTACTTTTATTTATATCTTAATTTATATCAAAACATTGTAGCACAAAACCATCATATTGACAAACTTGACAAACAAAAAGCAGTAGAACTTATTAACTCCAAACCTACTAGCACTAAACTATTGACAAGAGTTTTATATTCTTTAACTCTCTTAACAAATCTCTAACATAGTCACAAATCAATACTTATTACCAAGAAACTGCCTATCCAGAGGCAAACAAAATATTACAAGACAAATTTAAAATATTATACTCAATACCTTCCTTAATTGAAGAATCTTTCTTCCTTAAGGAATCCTTTTTTCAATAAATTTGTTTTCTACAAACCCCATAGATGCAGCTGCCATTTTGCCAAGAGATACACCCTTAGTAGTTGGCAAGAAAAATAATGTAAGTGGGCAGATGATAAAGCCCATTTACGTAAAGGACCAAGTTAATAATGGTCAAACCCAATGTACAGGGCAGACTATGGTACCCTCCACAGCTGTACAAACCAAGCTTCAAATGGTAAATGACCCTATAGAAGACAATCCAACCTTTCATGTTCCTGTTTCAACACTTCACCTCTTGCAGAAACAAATACATATTACAACAAATTTCTATTACTATACAACCTACCTATCATACACTACTATATAACATTTGGTAAATTTCTATCCTATCTTTGAAAACATTCCTTCAAACATACCTTTAATATATCTATTAATCATAACAAAACTGAGCTACATATATATACTGACTCTTCAGATTCTATTCTGCCTGAACATAATCTCATCTAACTTTTTTAATATAAACTATACAAGCACTTATCTTTACTAACAACACCAAACAATATCTTATTTAACACCTACCCATCTTCATTTGATCAACTGTTCCTTGCTAACTCATCTTCAGCATTACAATCTACTAATTTACCATCTACCTCTGCATTTAATCATACAGTTTCTTGGTCTGAGACCATCTCTGAATCTACATCTTTCAACCTAATAGCTTAATCACCTACATCTAACTTATACAAACCACTTCATCTGTTAATATGTACACATAATACATAAGGATATAATAATAACCTAAAACAACAAACATGAGAGAATTACTGTATATCTTATGACATTAACATTGCTAGCATTACAGAAACTAAAATCTCACAAATTAATACATTTGCTAAATTTCCTAGATCCCAACACTTTACTTATTATTGGTTATGTACTGATAATTGTAAAGCCAGAACAGCAATTATGATCCAAAAACATCTCAAACCACATGTTCATAAAACATTTAAC